GACACTCTAAGGATTATTGGAAACTGATGCAAAAAATAATAAATTATATCAATTTATCACTAATATATGCTTCATCGACATGCCCCTTTTTGGTGTGCAGCTAAAAAAAGAAACGAATCTAACGCAGCGATCAGAGAAAATTCCATTCAAAGCATGGACCCGAATGATGCAACGTTTATAACTCATAACGTGCCCCTTTCACAATCGGATCGACCCATAAGAATGAGATTTCCTCCCGCAAACGAGAGAAACTGACTCGAAAAGCAAAAACGGACAAATTAAATGTATAAAATTTCGGTCCCTTCGAGGCGAATCGAGACTTCGCCGTCACTCGACAGCCTTTCTCACATGCGTAAATGAACGAAACGAAACGATCGATGGATTTCGATGCGAGAACTGGATCGGGGTGAACGGGTTGCCCTTATTGGAACAACGGGTTGCCCTCATTGGAGCAACGGGTTGCCCTCATTGGGAAGCAATCCGAGATCCACACATTACGTAACTTCTCGTTAAACCTTTCCCCGACGACTCCGTCTGGAATCGCCACATTTTTCGTATTTCCTGAAGGGTTTCAATCGGAGTTAAGAAGTTCTTGCCTCATTTTTTATTATAAATTCTTTGGCTCCATTAAATGGAATTTCCAACCCAGTACTCAACACATGATTGCTATGCATTTGGATGGGTGCTTATTTTTCCTCCTTGAAATTAATTTTTTTTGCAAGGGAAACCTCATGGTTTCAGGTTAGACTTAGATGTTTATTATTTGAGATTGGCTTCATAGTAATTGTTATTTTGCGTCACAAACTTGCGATTCCATTTGGAGTCATCGGTCGACACGGATGCTTGAAATATGTCGATGCATACACACTAAAGATTCAGTAGCACTTGTAAGTTTTCACAAACGAAATGCTATTAAGGCTTCACGTTCCTCCTGAATTCGGCCGAAACTCTGGAATGGCTCGTTGAAGCTGCGATGATGGCGCGAGGTCAAGGTGCAGGCATTAATTAGGTTGGAGCCATTACTTGGTTTTGTAAACTACGATAGACGCTGCGAATCGTCTCTTGCGATCCTGGGGCAGCGAGCCCGCCGTTTCCGAAACTCGGACCGAGAAGACGAGAAAAGGAAAAGTGGAAAAAGTCGCAGCCGAACTTGCACAATCCCGATGAAATGGGGGCGACCTCGGCCGAGCAAATTTGTTTCACCGACCGGTTGACGATGTTCGACGGTGTTCGACGGTGATCGACGATGCCAACAGCGAGATGTGACGCAAGCGACGCATCGAGAGTCGAGTGCGACAAATGCGACGCGGCGAAGACGGAACGCGCAGACGCATCAAATCGCATCGTGCGAGGAAGCGCCTCACGGAACACGCAGACGCATCAAATCGCGCGAGGAAGCGCCTCACGGAACGCCCGGTGATTCGGCGTCTCTTTTCCTTCCGAGACGACACCGACCAGCACGTCCGAGTCCGTTTCCCTCATTCAGACCGTTCAACCAAGATTCGGGCGCTTCCAACATTTTTCTCGGACGAAAAGAAAAATCTGGGCCGGATAGGGTGCATAATTGCATACCGCTCCGCCCCGAGACATTTCGATATTCGCGAAATTTTGAACGTCACATCGTGATGAAAAAAAAAGCGGAAACGGCACATTTCTGCCAAGAGTGCGACGCCAAAAAAACACTCGATTCCGGCTTCCGCGACGGCAAATGCGTCGAAAAATTTGCGTCAGCAGTTTGTCGGAGCCGGAAGGACACCGTCGACCCCCAACGACGACTAATTTCCACGACGACCAAGGCGTTCCCTGCGGTTTTCCCACGGGAAAAAAAGCGGTGGGATTTCTCCTCGCATCCATTGCGCAACGCGCGACATTATCGGTGGGAAGGACGAGAAATTATTCGTCCTCGAAAGCTTCTACGTTTCGGCTTTTTGTTTTCATCGAGGAAAACCGGTTTTTCGGGCTCCGGTCGGTCATCCTGCCCAGACCGACGCATTCGGAAAGGGCCGGAAGCTCTGCAGGTCCCAAGATTGTAATCGTTTGGTACTGACGGTGGAGAATCCGCAATCCGATGGGAAAAGTCGGACCGAGGCGCCACTTGTGCAAAAAAAAATCGCAAATGCTAAATCGGAACCAATTCGACACCAAAAGTGAAATATTTTTTTTAATTTATTTTTTCCCTCGAGATGGTAAAAAAAAAAAATTTCTTTGCAATGGCAAAAGCGGTTCATTCTCTGTTGGCATTTTGCGAGATCGGCTTCTTTCCGATATCGTCCGACGGTCCGTTCCGACTTTCGGAAACGCATGGGTTGGCTTTCGAAAATGAAATGCCGAGGTCGCCTGGAAGTGTGGAAACTCATCCTCGCCCCTTCGATCTCTCGGGTGGCACTGGGAATGTATGCAGGAATTCCAGCTTCCCCGATCGGACCCATCTGCACTCATCAGATCCATGTGCATTCATCAGATCCATGTGCATTCATCAGTGCAGGCGCAATCCGCCTCCATGAAACTGAATCCGAACGAGACGGGCATTGCCCCTCGGAAAACTGCTGGGTTCGTTCCGGAAGACGTGCCTTCTTTCGAGGGAATAAAACGAACGCCTGGAAGTCCAAGCCTGCTTATTGGGGGATTAAGAAGGAATGATGAGTTGTATCCTGCCTCTCGTGGTGTCATAAAGACGGAAATCCGCGGAAACTCATGTGATTGGCCGAAAAATATAGAGCTTGAGAAGCGAACACCTCACCTCATTTCGTATCGAAGTCTCACAGGACACAAGTGTCCTGTAGAATTGCTTGAGGGAACATCCTGCAACAACTGCAGCCATTTTTTCCCCTGCCGATCGCACGGCGATCTCTCGAAAAACGCGTAGTTTACCACAGTAATCTTGGCTTTCTTCCCATTTCATCACTTGTGTCTCTCGCCCTCCGGTCAAAAAGCCCATTAAAAAAGGCGCAAGCGAGGATATCTCGAGATCATCCGTCGGATGATCTCGAGCCGACCCCAAGCGGCCGACCTCGAAACCCCGAAGGACGACCCCCCCCCACGGCCGCAGGCGACCCCAAGGACCTCCGTCCCGCGGAAGGACGAAGAAAACGCGGCCGGTAAATGACTTGGGGCTCCCCCTCTCCCCCGCTCATTTCGTTCCGGACCGTCTCCGCGATCGCATCCGCAGTTTTCTCAGAAAGGTTTCTCTGAAAGTTTCGTCGTCGAGCCGAAGAAGCTTCGAGGCCGATCGCTCACGAAGGTTGGCGCATTCCAGTTTTTTTTCTCTCTCCCCCTCTTCGCTTTTTATCGCTCAAGTCTCATTTTCGCACATCTTCGGCGAAACTTCCGATTTTTTACTTGAGCTCGTCGGAGAAACTTAATGAATTTTAACATAGGAATGAAACCCACGAGAGAAAATTTTTTCGTTTAGCCTCTCCGCGTTCAAATTTCGCTTCGAATCGTTTCTCCGAAACTCACGTAATGCTTCCAAATTCATTTTAAAAACTTTTCGGTGAGTTACGTCGTGACGAACCCCTTCGTTCGTTAAAGCTGTCTTTGTAGAAATAAATTTATTATATAATCTCAGCTTTCGGCAGTAGATTGAGCATTGCGTGCATTTTTTCATGCTTGCGATGAGTTCAGATCACTGAGTTTAGTGTAAATTTTCTTTTCCCCTTGCAGCGACAACAAAGAAGCAAAATGGAGTTCTCTCATCTCTTCGTCCTCATCGTGAGTGCCTCCCTCAGCCAATTTCTTTCAAATGTGCATTACTTTCAAAATTTATATTTAAAATATTTCACTGCTCACGTTGAAGAACTTGCATGAATTGCCTTCCCTTTGGTTCTGGTATCGAAATGCTTCCTCGCTGTTATTGCGGAAATTTGAAATAATTATTTCAGCTGGGCGTCCTGTCCCTCCTGATGGCGCAATCGGCACTGGGTCACCCGCACAAGGACGCCATCTCGCGTCGCCGAATCGAAAGAAACGCGTAAGGCAATCCGTGACGATTTCGTCGTGTGTTCTCAATTGTGAGGCACGATAGTGAAAGGATTGGGGACCGTTTCATTAGTTTCCATCTGTGGAATCACAACCCTTACGAAAATGTCCTATAGGAAACCTATAGTTATTTCTTATAGGAAACCTATAGACTTTCCTATAGGTTTTTGAAACACGAAAAACCTATAGGATCCTATAGGGTCTTATAGGTCTCCTGACCTATAGGATTCGGGGAGGATATTTTTGGTTTCGAAACCCAGGGATTACGACGGAAAAGGCGACAGGGGATAATATTCGCGCAGCATTTCGGTGTAAATCAAAGAATCGATTAGGGGTTTTTCCATGGTAGGGACACATCCATTATTAACGCCAATACTGCCGGGGTCTGCATAATTAATGGCCCCGCCCCACATGTGCCCTGGATTGCACATCTACTTCCTTCGGCAGAGATAAGCGGCGTTCTTCTCTCGACCTAAGGAAATAGAAGACAGAACCTGCGAGCACGTCTCTTTACTGAAACTCCATACGGATAAAGTCTACTCAGTTTCGTACGTGGTCTTCAAAAGGAATAAGGGCATATTTATTCACGGGACTCCATGATTATATCTGGAAGATGGGGATGACAAATAAGGAACTGTCAAAGTTAATTGATTGCTACAATGAGGCAAGGCGAGACATTAGGGGACGTACAAAACTCTCTTGTGAGAGATGATTCCTTGGGTAAGGGGAGGGCACTTTTGTACCCTTTGAGAAATGTGAGAACCCAATACTTCCATCTAGTGGCCAAGGGGAGAACTTCAAACGGAACCCTATAGGCCTATAGGGTTCCGTACAAGCCCTACAGGGAACCCTATAGGTCCTATAGGTAACCCTATAGGTCCTATAGGGAACCCTATAGGTCCTATAGAGAATCCTATAGGTCCTATGGAGAATCCTATAGGTCCTATAGCGAACCCTGCAGGTCTTATAGGGAACCCTATAGGTTTCATAGGGAACCCTACGGGTCCTATACAGAACACTTTGGGTCCTATAGGGAACCTATAGTCCTTATGGGGAACCCTATAAGTTCTATAGGGGGATCTATAGGTTCTATAGGGAACTCTATGGGTTCAATAGGGGACTCTATAGGTTCTATAGGGAACTCTATAGGTCCCAAACTGAACTGTATGGGGCATATAGGATCCTATAGGATTCCTTTAGGTTCCTATAGGATTCCTATAAGATTCCTATATATTCCTAAAGGAATATATAAGAATCCTATAAGACATTTTCGTAAGGGAATGTAAAGAATTTGAGACGTAATTGTCTCTTAAAACGCATAAAAAGACAAAGGAATCCTCCTGAATTCCGCCCCAAATCTCTCTCTAAACTCATTTTTAGTCTCGGTCCCAGCAACGCCCTTCGGAGTCCAATAGCATTTCGTCCGAACAGGTTCGCACACGCGCGTCCGCACCCAGAGGCCGACGCAGATGCGGACGCGGACGCGGACGCAGAAGCAGATCCGGACGCGGATCCGCTCTACAGCGACCCACCGGGCGGGAGGCGGAAGAACAAATACGGGACGAACCGGAATAACGGAGAACGGACCGCGACCCATTTCGGAGGGATCGGACGTCGTCGATGAGAGTCGATCGATCGAGTCGACAACTTCCTGCTCTTGCCTGCGACGCTAATATTATTTGCTAACTTAAAATATTCCCTATTGGTTAAGTATTCCATATTCTTTGTTCGTGTGAATAAAGAATTCATCGCGTGAGGGGAATCCATTTATTCGCATCGCAATGCACACTTAATTTCACGTCGGCTGCAGCAGGAAATCCGTGGACGTTTCCGAATCGAGAAATGAATCTTGCTCTTCCAATGTTCGTTTTTGTCACGTCTCAATGTCTCCAGTATGTTTGAGTCCGTGGACGATGACGTCACTTCTTCGGGACGACGCCTTCAAGCGATCCAATCGAACCTTCGCTCACGGAATTCCGTTATTCCCTCGCATGACCACCTTCAGCACATCGATTTCCACCTTCGCCTTCGGCTTCTCTTCTATGGCGTCTTGGTTTTTTTTTTCTTTCACTCCCCGCATTATTATCGTGTAGACGGTCCGTGAATTTATTTCGTCCGTTACGTCGATTCCTTCATCATATTCCGCGAGATCTTCCACCAATTCTTAGGATTGTGCAAATTATTTTCTCGTTTCTTTGCTTTAGCCATCCCCATTGGCTACTTGAGCTACACGGCATGAGTATTGCTCTACACAGTTGAAACCCCAACCCATTTTACTCTGAGGACGAAAAGAGCGGAATATTACTCCAATTTTTCCATCCTTTCACTCTTCCAGAGCAGTAAGAAGTGGAAAAATAAGGAAGAAAACTGGAGTCAGCACTCGCCTCTAAACGTGTCCCAAAGTAACAGTTGGACGAGCTGGTCTCCGGTGATGTATCCTTCACCGCGATAGCGACAGTTCTCTGTCAAATAATTCACGATGTGTTCACTTTCGACTACGTTGGATAGATGTCGCCACTCCAGAGAACACAAAAACACGCACCGCCGAGATTCTCTTTCCATGTTACTCGACATACGGCCACCTAGCGCCGGCACGATGGTTCCCAACGACTTCTATGCTGCAGCCGGCTCGAGGTGCGTCTCTCGCTTCGAGCTCGACGTGCAAGTCCGCGCTAGTCCGAGGTTCAGGCTTCAAACTTTCATTATTTTCAAGACACATTGCGCCAAGGACTCTCTCTCCACGGTTGTCATCCTGAAGGCCTCTTACGTCTCGAGTGGTTACTGTAGAGCCTTGAGAATGAGATTAGATATCAAATTAGATCAAGTCTTCCACGATATCGATGGTAATGAAAGCATGGACTTGGTCCGAGACATCACAGTGAAATGAAGCAGTGCGAAAATCAATTTTTAAAAGCTGGTAACCTTCAATTTGACGTTTAACCTCTGACCCTTCGGCCTTTAAGCTATCACGAGATACACTAACGTTAAGCCTGGAGAAAACGGTTAGGCCTACCGTTGGTGTCAGGACCACGGACCGATTTAGGTCAGGCCTGGGCCTGACCTAAATCGGTCCGTGGTCCTGACACCGAAATCGAAAGAATCTCAACCCTCGACTTCCGGCACATATTAGGCCTATGGAGATCTTATTCGGTGTTTTCGAGATATCTCGGTGAGGACGATTAACAGATGGCCGATTGTGGGCCTCTTCTGACATTCGCGAGCCATTTCAGAGGGGACGTGTAACGTTAGGCCTATTTGGGGGCTTCGAATCATCTCGACTCGGATGTCTGTGGAAACATTGCCGATGAAGTTCAGTAGCACATAGGACGCCATCATAGCAGGGATGTCGACGCACGGTATGCTCATGTCCCGCTAAAATCGTCGGCTTTCGCAAACCATGGCTTCATCTCATCTCATCGCATGAACTCAAAATAATAAGGTATCATACATTTAAAAAAAAAAAACAGAAGACGGGGATTGGTACGAAAGCAGAAGCAGTCCCGAATCCCACATAATTCCAGTACGATATCCGGCAACCGTGGGAGACGGGACAGCAGCCTACACCATAAGCCAAATAAATTACAGCTCATTTAATTTTTCACAGCGATATGGGGCATTGCCAGCAACGGCAAAAGCGCGTATCTCGCGCTTCTGGTTCATATTTTCTCTTTTGTTGGGACTATCTCCTCCGAAAATTAACACAATAGGAACCACCAGGGCGTGGGAGAAATAAAAAAAAAATAACTAGAAGGAAAAGGAGATGTTCACAAAACGATATTCACTGTTCTCCGCAACCCTTCGGAGCTCCAAAGTTGCTGGAGTGACTGCGTCCGTGAGGGGGAAGGCCGAGCTCATCCTCACACTGCATTGCTGTTCGTGGAGCGTGATCGAGGCAGCACGCGGCGGCAGTCCGTTGGCGGACTGCGGAGCTGCTCGCTGCTTTTCCTGCATTTGCTTTCTTCTGCTGAATTCTGAAATTTACGTCACTTTTCACAGTTTTCGGCATCACATTCAACAGGTTGTTTTTCCTCGTTTAACTCAGCACTTCTTGGGAGAAGACAAGTGCTGAGAGTCACGCATTAGCGGCACGTAATGATGGCACCAAGGAGTTCCAGTAGAGAAGGAAAGTACTAGTTTAGAATCCATACAGATAACGATACTCTGTGAAGTACCTTAGGTATATAAATAGATTATGAATAATTCTAAATCAATACTATACCCAGTAATGTGGAGAATATAGCAGCTTCCTTCTCAATGGATGTGGATAGTATCTTCAAGTGGGGAATTATGGATCTAGTACTTAATGTGATTTCCATGGGGCAAAGATTGCGTCACCATGAAAGGTGGAAATGGATTTCCAAACGGTGCGAATGGAAATCCATGGTTGAGGGTGGACCATTAATGGAATTCCCGAGGGAATCCCTTACGAAAATGTCCTATAGGAAACCTATAGTTATTTCTTATAGGAAACCTATAGGCTTTCCTATAGGTTTTTTAAACACGAAAAACCTATAGGATCCTTTAGGATCCTATAGGATCCCTATAGGGTCTTATAGGTCTCCTGACCTATAGGATTCGGGGAGGATATTTTGGGTTTCGAAACCCAGGCATTACGACGGAAAAGGCGACAGGGGATAATATTCGCGCAGCATTTCGGTGTAAA